GAATTAAATAAAAGCTGGGCACTTCTCATTTGCATAATGCTAAGCTGATGGTCCAAAATAAAGCTGAGAAGACTCTTCCAAAGCAGATCTCATGCAACCATGCAGAAAATTACTTACACTCCAAATATTTGAGTGATCGGAAGACCTTCCGCTGAGGTGTTACACGCTTGATGTTTGGATGATCTTCCAGTGTCAGTACTCCATCCTTCTGTTTCTCATTGATCTGAATAACTTCAAAATCACTAGGATAGTCACTGGCTGGGTTGTTGCGAGGTACAATCCTCCAGTTCTCAATATCACTATTTTTTAGTGCACTTGAAATAAATTTACTTCTAGCTTTAGCTGTGAAGTATCCATTAAAAGCCACAATATACTCTGGAACAAGAGCACAACTTATCAGAAGTGATGTTTAAGCGGTTTACTCGCACATTCACATTGCAAAGGTCAAAATATTTCTGTTTTAAGTTCTCCAGAACAAAGAATCACAATTTGAGACACCTTTTTGTTGCTTTTAGAAATCTGCAATTTATTTCTGTGCTATATAATGCTTTTTTTTTTCATCAGGAAATCTGCAAAATAGAATAAAAACCTTTGAAAGGAAGGTAGAATTCTAAGTATCATAGAAAGGCGAAATGATGAGGGGGAGAAGAGGTAACAGAATTACTGTTACATCCAGCAGTACAAACAACTGCTTGATATGCCAATTCAATATGCTTCTTGATATGTATGATTTCACTGAATTTCACTGAATTTTTAGAGTTGGAAGGGACCATAGAGATCATCTAGTCCAACTCCCCTGCCAAAGCAGGACCACCCAGAACTTGTCAGAGCATGTTACTCAGGAGCATCCAGGCAGGTCTTGAAAATCTCCAAAGAAGGGGACTCCACAACTTCCCTGGGCAGCCTGTTCCAGGGCTCTGTCACCCTCACCGTGAAAAAGTTCTTCCTCATATTCAAGTGGAACCCTTTATGTTCCAACGTGTGCCCATTGCCCCTTGTCCTCTCACTGGCAACTACTGAAAAGAGTCTGGTTCCCTCGTCTAGCCTTTAGATGGTATTGCGTTTTAGTGCTTTTACTGACACCAAGTATGTATGACATGCACAGAGAACAAAGTTGGTCCCAACAGTCCAGTCCTTGATCTAGATTAGTGATTTGTGAGCGGAGCTGAGCCTCAGCACACACCACTTCATTCGCCACAGTACGTTTTTGGGTATCTATGCACAAAAACATCGCTATGGATATTGTGCCCATGAGCACCAGGTTGACTCAAGAGTCAAGGTGTCCTACTGCCATCCTTTGCCATATCAGCAGTGATATCTGCTGACTTTGTCTTTCATCTGCTCCCTTTACAACTATCTTTGCAATTTTTCCGTGCATGTGCTATCGCTTCCAAACTTTTCCTTGAACAAACCCACAGAGATTTCTGGCCTCTCTCATCCCTTCAGTGCCCACTCATGGTTACATTTCATGAAAGAGCCTCAAATATACCACCGGCAGGGGCAAAACAAACAGGTAAGTGACCAGGCTTGGCTACCTCAGCCTTCACGCTCCATTTTTACTTTTAACATCCTCTTTATTTCCCCTCTCTCCTTTCTCTTGTTCTTGGAATCTTGTCTCCAGTTAAACCAAGAACCTTTGAAAAATAAATCTGTTTCTCTTTTTGAATACAGAGAATGTAGCAGATTATACGCTTCTACAGAAACTCTCTGAATGTTACAATTGCACAAACACCACAAATCAGTAACATATACTTGAACTTCACAGGGTTTTTTGGTTTTTTTTGGTTTTTTTTTTTTTCACTGCTTAACTCTTTATTACCATGCTCCACGACTGTCGAAGTGAATTCCACTTTCAAAGTAAGGCGAGAACATCCAGGGCATATGTAAGCCTCATGAGAGGAATTCCCTAGTCTGGTACCGAAGTGTTTTTTGCCACAGAGTAAAATAACAACCAGAACAAACCAGATGTTTGCAAACTTCATGGTCATAGAAGAAAATGGTTTCATTCCAAAAATTCCATATATTCAAATCACAATTTTCTTCATTATAAACTAGTTCATTTTTGTTTCAGTAAACGTTGCTTTCACTGTGCTGATCAGTCGGATATTCTTAAAGCTGTGTCCAAAATAAGTAGAGATTTCATGGTCTTTTGAGGTAAAGCCTTATAAATAGGCTCATTTCTTTCTACGCTTCTTCTCCATTTTGTATTAAAGGATTTGGTCACTCAGGATGTGGTAGCTGAGTCCTGTACCCCATTTCTGATGGCAAAGTTAACTCCCTAGAAGAATGAGGAAAGCTGATTGCAAGCCAACCTGTAAGGCAGGGCAATATAGAAAATAATTAGATTCACATTTGTGCAAACATATAGCTGGAAAATCACAGAAGATAGACACCTTGCAGTTAGTATTAGAAATAATACAGAAAAAGTTATTCATATGTTTCATTCAGTATTTTTTCACATGTGTTCGTTTCTTCCTTGCTCACCCAGAGCACACATTGAACACTCAGGCATTAACCTGACAACAGAAGAGGCAACAGTGACAACCAAACTCTACCAGCCTTTGTGTAAGGGGAGCAAAGAGAAAAAAACGACAAGCCACACCCATGAAAGGAAAAAGTAAAATAAAACAGTAACATGATAAAAACTGTCCAGAGGCACTTAAAAAAATACGGTGGCTTTTTTCCAGTCAGAAATGCAGCAAATAGAAATTCTGCTACGGTATGCCATTTTACACAAGAAGAATCAAATCCAAACTCTGTGCTAAGGGCTGGTAAGGACAGGAAGCAAACTTTCAATCCCTGTGCTTGTAAGATAAAATTAGCGTGAAAAAAGTCTTTCAAATTTTCTTGAGGTGGAATGTGAGCTACTTAAAACGTGGGCTCACAAAGTACAGGAACCATTCAAGAAAAGCATTTTTTAAAATTCCAAGCATTTGTCTAGCAATTGATAGATAAAAAGCTATTAAGATATGAGCGAAGAGAAACATTTTCACCTGGTCTGTCATACCCCATGGAGAAGCAGAGCACAACTATATATTGGTGCAGCAACCAGGATTGAAAAGTAGGAGCCTTATTAGGGAATTCACACTATTTAGGACAATGACAGGATGACTTCACAGTACAACAACACAATAAATCAAGTCTGCATGTGACAGCTCTTACCTCAATGTTACTTAACTTTATTTAGCATTCTTAAGTATTTCCTTGTAACAGGGATAGAATTTCCCTCTATTTCTAGCTGACTGACAACACCATGACAGACTGTAAACTACTTGTGATTACAGTTTCCTCTTCGTCCTTAAATTAGACATAGTTACTGTACATCAACACGCTGGTATTGGCTGAGCTCTCTCTACCTTATCACTCCGTTCGTTGGTTTATAACCCCTGAAGCAATTAAAAAAAAAATAAATCAACTACACTAATGAGCAAAACAAACATCCTTTTGTCCGATAACAGACTGTATGCAAGCATTATGCTGAAATATCATAGAAACCAAGAGCAAAGAACAACACGCTCACACCTTTATTCTGTTTAACACCCTTAGCGTTTGGGGCTGGACAGGAACTTAAACTTGTTGATTCGTCCTAGAACGGCTACGTTTGGAGTTAATCCCCGGTTTTTCTGAAGCGAGGGTAGCCCAGAGCGAGCCACGGGATCTCCGCAGATAGTCGGCCGGGAGAGGCCCATAGAGCACCGGCGCGGAGGCGGCAGGCAGCCGAGGAGCCATCCCGTTCGGGGAGCTCGGCCCCTGCCGTGGCAGGACGAGGCAGCCCCAGAAACGAGGGGCACCGGGAAAGGCGACCGGGAGGCCCAGCTTCTGCCGCCCGCTCCGCACCCCCAAACCTTGACAGCACAGCGCTCCCCCACAGCCTACACACAGAAACGGCGCGACGGAAGCAGCAGCCGCGCCACCGTCCCGCTCCCTCCTCCGCGCCCCTCGCCCACCGCCCGCTCACCGTGCCGCCACCAGGCCCGCCGCCGCCATTTTCTGCGCTGTTTACCACAGCGCTCTCGCGAGAGCCCCATAGCGGCCAGCGCATGCGCATGGCGCGAGGGGGAGGGGCTGCGCGGGGAGCGCATGTGCGGTGAGGCGTGATGGCTGCCGAGGGACCGGCGGTTACCGTGAGGGAAGTTTCCCGCCGGAGGCAGTAAGGAGGCCGGGAGCAGTCGCCCTTTAAAGAAACACAGAATGGTTTGGGCTGGAAGGGACCTTAAAGATCATCGAGTTCCAACCCCCTGCCCGGGGCAGGGACACCTCCCACCACAACAGGTTGCTCCAAGCCCCCTCCAACCTGGCCTTGAACCCCTCCAGGGATGGGGCAGCCACAGCTTCTCTGGGCAACCTGGGCCAGGCTCTCACCACCCTCACAGCAAAGAAGTTCTTCCTAATGTTTCATCTAAATCTCCCTTCTTTCAGTTTAAAACTGTTCCCCCTTGTCCTATCGCTTTCCTCCCCTGATCAAGAGTCCTTCCCCAGCTTTCCTGGTGCCCCTTCAGGGACTGGAAGGGGCTCCAAGGTCTCTCTGGAGCCTTCTCCAGGCTGAACCCTCCCAACTCTCTCAGCCTGTCCTCACAGCAGAGGGGCTCCAGCCCTTGCAGCATCTCCGTGGCCTCCTCTGGCCTCGCCCCAACAGCTCCATGTCCTTCCTGAGCTGAGGACTAAGGCTGTTTGAGAAATGGATTCTTCAGGTGTGGGTGAATGGGGTTTAACACTTGCCAGGAAGACTAGAGATTCTTTATTCAGTTTCTCCAGCTGTATTTGAGATTGCTGAAGCAGTATTTAAAATATTCACACTTTGAAGAAGAAAACATACAAGCCTATCTCCAAATTCCTTTACAGCTCTGTAAGACCTTTTCCGTCATTTAAACAACCTCCAAGTCAGTATCACCTTAATTTTGAGAAGTTCCTTGAGATCATTCAAAAGAAACAACATTTGCACTTAAAACAGACAAACATCTGCTGTTACAAAAACAGAAAAGTTACACAAAACTATGTAATAAAGAAACAATACAGTTGACTGGAATTGGTTTATTTTAACAAAATGATTTTTGGGGGCCCGTTTCTGACAGATTTGGGGAATTCTCAAATTCTGTCAACTTTACAAGTTGTCAAGTTTACAAGTTACCTGCTCCTGCCAAATTACCTCGAAGAGAACAGAAATCAACCTCAACAAGATCAGCTCTTTGTCATGGAGGAAAGCTGAACTATTTAACACAAGGATACAGCAAGGATCCAAACTTCTGATGTCAAGGTTGCAGGTAGCTTGTTGAGCAAGGTATGGATAAATTACAGTAAGTCCACCAAGGTTCACTAAACAGTTTTGCAGCACTGATCGGAATATAGCACTCATTACACAGGATGTCAGGATATTCCTATTTCACTTTGCATGTTAAAGCTTCTTTGCGTATAATTCTGCCAAAATACATTGCAAACCATGCCCAGATCCATTCAGGTATGCGCTCACCCAATGTGAACTGTGGAGAGGCACAGGGAGACAACAAAAAAAAAGGAAAGGAAAGGAGAGATTAAAATATATTGCATTAAAAAAGTTTTTCAAATTACCACTAAAGCAAGGCAAAACCTGCTCGAACATCAGAAACTAAGCCTTAAATTCAAACCCGGGTAAGTAAATATATTTAGACATTTTGGAAGTGGTGCACATGACTGAACAGTTAGCTTCTGGAAATAAATTCTGAAGTGGTTTGCTCATGTTCGCAGCAGCAGTACTGTCCACTTCCTTTAACTGCCACATCTTGCCGGAATCCTCCTCATCTCTTTTATTCCTTTTGGACTAATCCCTACTTCAAGTCCTTCTACTTGACCTAATGCTACAGAAAGCCATGCAGTAGGACACGAGAGGTGACCAACATTCTTTGGAGCCCACAGTCTGTGCCCAAAAATGAAAAGTCAACATACGGAGGACCTGCTTCCAGATAGCGTAGGATAAAAATGTGGGGTTTTTCCCCTGCTGTTATTCCATCCTCCCTACCCACTCCTCCCCAGAGTAAAAATATGCTCAATAAATTAAGACTGAAAAAAGCTGCTTCTGCTCACAGAAGACAGTGAAATGCTTGCCCAATCAGCAACACCCCAAGTGAAACAAGATACCCTGTGCTTTTGAATAAAAAGTTGTCTCTTTCCCATTTCCGCTGTGCATTTCAAGTGGGAATTGGATTCACCCTCTCATTCTAAAAATAAGCATGCCTGAGTGCAATTTTCTAAAGCAGAATTAGTGACAAAATACGGTGCAATGCCTTTAAATCCTACAATATATATTGCACTGTTTCAGGATACAAGCATAGTTTTCATTCAGATTCCTAAGAAAGTAAACAGCTTATTTACTTCCATTGACAAACAGGAAATAGTTTAATGAATTCTGTTACCTTTATTGCATGCTTCCAGTATCCAGTAGTCCTTGTGGATAACCCAAGAGTAGAAACAGCATGACTTGCATATTCTTCAGCAGAAGGGAAAAAGAAAGATCTCTTTGATGCAGTGCTGCTGCATGCTACCATTTTTGTGGCAATTACGAATGGGGTTAAACTCTGAACAAAAATTCCTTTTGAGGCATACTCATAATGTAGTGCTCTACTGAAATAGTCCAAGTAGGTCTAGAAAGACAAAAACAGAAAGACATCTTTTTTTTTCTTTTTTTTTAATAAAAACAATCAAGTCTTAGGGCAGAGTTTTATATAAAACCTTGAATAAATAGTATAGATATATACATTTCTAAAGCACTACCAACAGTTCTATTAGTTGCTATTCGTTTGCTAAAAACCTGCAACAGTACAGCAACTTGTAGGACAAAGTGACTGCTTAAATCTCTGATGTGAATTTAACAAGAAAATCTGACAATTTCTGCCTAAAAACAATACAGAAACATTTATTTCATGTAAAACAAACACCTTGTTTAGTTTGAGGACACTGCAGGAGACGCTCCAAATCTAACTAAACATACTACTGTCAAAAAGACAAAATGAATACCTATTCCTTAACACATTTACAGGTTAATTTCATATTCCAGCTGATCTTCCCCAGAAGCTAGGTTAATTACTTCCTGGGACTCCCTTGTGCCAAATTAAACATGCATTTGTTTATGTGCATCTGTATTATCTCCTTTAGTTAATTTTATATTTACAGACTAATATAAAAAAAGCACGAGCCTGGTAAATGGGATTGCTGGAATCAGACGGGAAACTGAGCATGGCTCAGTCTTATCAAGGAGGAACACTGATGCCATACTGAAGCTACCACTGCGCTGCACACTCAGTCACCCCCTGAGAAAGAGCATCTTAGACTCTGCTTATGAGTGAATGGGTTTCTGCTCCCAAACAGCCTCACAAAAGCTTGGTTTCCAACAGACTGTTAGGAAAGCACTTTCCACAAATGCTCTTATGCCTGCTTTAGGAAAACAAACAAAATAACCTACCACTTCAAACACCTTACAGGCACAGAGACTTAGGATGCTAGAGCGGCTTGTACCCACTTCTGTGCCGATGTAGAGGCCAGGCTTTAAACCAGATTGCTGATCTAGGATTTGGATTAATGCTGGCAGCTAAAGGAAGAAACTTCGGTACACCTGGTTTTGTTCTGTTCTTTTTCATTCAGGCCTTTTAATTGATTTAGTTGCAGTTTTACATACACTTAACCAAGGGAAGAGATACTCTGCAACAGAAACAGGAATGTTAAGCCAGTTTCAACACTGAAGAAAATCCACAGTGAGTTTTATACCTGGGGTAATAAGAGCTGGGTTTGCTCCAGGCAAAAGGAAGTACTGGCAAAAGCTATCCCAGGAGCAAAGTTGCACAGGGGTTAGGCTACAGCAGAGGGCAGACACCCACAGCTGGGAGCAACAACCACTTGTTTACACTCCAGATGGAGACAAGATCCTTCTACAATCTCCGCTGCTTTTGTGGATTCAGGAGCAAGTCATCCATTGTAAATCCACATCCCTACCTGCATTCATACTTCCAGCATCACCCAGCTGCCCCATCCTATTCATTACTGACTGGATCTCCCCAGGAAAAATAATTATGAGGGGGAAAGTTCTTTTCACTTCTCCCCAAATATGGTACAGACAATGACATCGGAAGCTTTCTGCCACTTGGTGTTAGGTGAAGCAGTGGCTTGATTTGGCCACAGCCCTTGTTGTAACGGTGGCCTAAGCATGAGTAGAGAGCCTTTCTTACTACCAAATATGACCATGTAGGTAGCTTGAGGTATGTCTGCACAGTTCAGCTGAAGAAGACGGCTGAAATTCTTGACCCTTTCAATGGCTCATAGAACTGACACTTTGCTTTCCACATCATTCCTCTGAGGAAGGTAACATTTCTCCTAAAACTACTGTTATGCTACCATTCACACATAATCCAAATAGCACTGAATTTGGTTCAAAGCCCAGTATTGGTGAAGACAAAGAGTTTACTGCATATTATGTGTAGCATTCACCTCTGATACTTTAACAAACCCCTAAAAAACTTTGAAGTACATTGTGATATCCTTGCTGAATGTGTTTACAACCAATCTATAATGCATCTACTTTTCAGTGCATACCATTAAACACAACACCCCAACTTACTTTAGAGGCTCCATAGATTGTCAGCATTGGTGTCGGCTGACAACAGGACGCAGAAGAAACATTCACAATTGCCCCTCTCATCTTCTCTACCATGCGCGGCAGCACAATATGCATCATCATGTTAGCAGAAACAATATTTATGTTGATCATGTCCCACAGCACATCCTCTGACAGGTTGGTAAAATAGTCCGGGTAGGGATAAAACATTCCTACATTATTCACCAAAATGCCAATTTCTCTGTCTTTCAGAGCCTCCCTAATGGCTGGGTAAGGCTCACGCCCCTTGCTGAAGTCAGCTACTATGAAATCTGTTTCCACTTTATAGGTTTCAGATATGCTTCTAGATACAGACTCCAACTTCTCCTTGTTTCGGCTGATTAAGATGATGTTGACACCACGCTTTGCCAGTTCTTCAGCATACGCCTTCCCAATACCATCTGTGCTACCTGTAATAGAAAATAGAAAAACAAGGTGAAAGTCAGAACAGCCTCACCCTTGTCTTTTGGCAGTCCTTTCAATTATAGCTTGAAGATCTGAAGATCATGTGGCACTGAATATGGTGATCTCAAAACCACAATAAAGACAACGTCACAGAATCATTTAGGTTGGAAAAGACCTTTAAGATCGAGTCCAATCATTAACCCAGCACTGCCAAGTCCACCACTAAACCATGTCCCTCAGCACCACATCTACCCATCTCTGAAATACCTCCAGGGATGGTAACTCTAACATTTTCCTGGGTAGCCTATTCCAATGCTTAATAACCCTTCTGGTGTAGAATTTTTTCCTAATATCCATCCCAAACCTCCCCTGGCACAACTTGAGGCTATTTACTTTTGTTCTATCACCATTTCCTTGTGAGAAGAGACCGACCCCCCTGGCTACTCGCTCCTTTCAGGGAGTTGTAGAGAGCGAGGTCTCCCCTCAGCCTCCTTTTCTCCAGGCTGAACAACCCCAGCTCCCTCAGCCTCTTCTCACAAGACTTGTGCTCCAGACCCCTCACCAGCTTCATTGCTCTTCTCTGGACCCGCTCCAGCACCTCAATTTTTTCTTCTAGTGAGGAGCCCAAAACTGGACACAGCCCTCGAGGTGGGGCCTCACCAGTGCCAAGTACAGGGGGACAATCACTGCCCCAGTCCTGCTGGCCACACTTTCTGATACAGGCCAGGATGCTGTTGGCCTTCTTGGCCACCTGGGCACACTGCTGGCTCATATTCAGCCGACCAACACGCTGAGGTTCTTTTCCGCTGGGCAGCTTCAGGCACTCTTCTCCAGGCCTGTAGTGTTCATGGGATTGGTGTGACCCAAGTGCAGGACCCAGCACTTGGCCTTGTTGAACCTCATACCACTGGCCTCAGCCCATCAATCCAGCCTGTCAGATCCTCCTGTAGAGCTTTCCTACCCTCAGGCAGATCAACACTCCCACCTAACTTGGTGCCGTCTGCAGGCTTACTGAGGGCAACTACTCTTTTTTTCCTCAGTTCCAGCTAAAGCTCTCTATTCAGCCAGGCCAGTCATCTTCCCCGCTGGCTTATCTTATGTCACATGGGGACGGCCAGGTCCTGCACTTCTAAGATTTCCTTCTTGAAGAACATCCAACCTTTCTGGACTCCTTTCCCCTTCAGGACTGCCTCCCAAAGGACTCTCTCAACCAGGCTCCTAAACAGTCCAAAGTATGCCCTCCAGAACTCCAAGGTAGCAATTCTCCTGATCCCCCCCTGCTCTGTACTTCTTCAAGAATCAAAAACTCTGTCACTTTGTGATAACTATGCCCAAGACGGTCTCCAGCCATCACATCCCCCACAAGTCCTTCTCTGGTCATAAACTGCAGGCTCAGCAGGGCACTGTCCCTAGTTGGCTCCCTCACCAGCTGTGTCAGGAAATTTTTCTCAACACACACTCCAGGAACTTCTTAGACTGTTTCCTCTTAAACTGCAGGCTCAGCAGGGCACTGTCCCTAGTTGGCTCCCTCACCAGCTGTGTCAGGAAATTTTTCTCAACACACACTCCAGGAACTTCTTAGACTGTTTCCTCTCTGCTGTACTGTATTTCCAGCAGATGCCTGGTAAGTTGAAGTCCCCCACAAGAACAAGGGCTAGCGATTGTGAGACTTCTGTGTTTTCATCCTGGTTGGGTGAAGAGACAGATTCGCAACATGGTATCCACCTTGCTGGCTTTCCCCCCTGATTTCACCCATAAACACCCATTCTCCTCCCCACACATACCTATTCTCCCCATCCTTCAGCTCTAACCAAAACACTCCCTAACATACAGGGCCATCCCACCACCTCTCCTTCCTGGCCTATCCCTTCTGAAGAGTTTACAGCCATCCTTTGCAGCACTCCAGTTGTGTGTGTCATCCCACCGTGTTTCCATGATTGTCAGTAGCAACCTTCTGCAATCCCACCTCATATAAGTTTTATATTTTCTATGACAACAGAGAGCTTAGAGTAGAACCTTAATGAAAGGCAAGCACGTCAGTAGTACATGACTTAAACCTCGTTGAACAACTCGAGCACATGTGAAAAGCACATAGCAAAAAAAGGATTTTGTCTACATCTCTGTCTACACCTGTATGTGTTCCGGTTATACCTTGCAATTATGGGTAAAAATTGCTCTGTGATTCTTTCCCAGCAGTCAGTCAATGCACTGAGCTCAACCATCTCCTGAGGAAGTGAATTTAGTAGGGCACTGAACAACTGTCACTGCTCAAGAAGATAAACTTGCAACCTGCGATAATGCAGGCACAGCTTGTGACATAAAGCTCGACCAACAATATAAGCTAGTAATTTTTATAGTACCAGCACAGTATTTTATATCACTTACCTGTGACCACAGCCCATTTTCCATAGCGCTTGACAAGATCAATCTCGCCACCCAGCTTTGGAATTAAATGCAACCTCAACATGCTGTAAGTGTCAAACGCAAGAGACACACACTTTCTGACTGTGTACCATGCTCCAACTATAGCCAGGGCCTCTATGTAAAAACTGCAGGAACGGCTGATCTCTCTGTACAGAAGGTAGAAACGATCCACTGCAGCCATGGTGATCAAAAGCCTGGAAAAAAATAAGAGAGACACAGGCAATGACAATCGCCTCTTGGGCCACATAAACTCTTCAGACTGAACGGATAAGTTCTGAGAGTCAGCACATGCAGCCTGAGCACCACTTTGATGCAGAAAAAGCCACAAAAATGTGGGTATTGCCTACCATCATCCTCACTGTTTTAGCTACTGTTCAAGCCTTAGTTCAAGCTACTGTTCAAGGGCTTAGCTGTTAATCAGTTATACTGCAATAACACAAATCAATGATGCTGTAAATGAAGCAATTTGAGTCCAAGCAGATAAGGGAAGCTCAACTGAAAAATTAGGTTTTGGAAGATTAAGATTCACCCGTAGAAGAGGCAAGGACAACAAGCTGAGCACGCAAGAAATAACACTCTCCCAAGCACAGATGGCTACAGGAGAGACACAGCAAGCTGAGACAGACACGTAACTTTATAAAGTCCCCGGTGCTATCCCGAAGCACTGCCTATTTCCCAGCACACACACCGCACCTGCCGTGTCCTTATGTCTTGGAAACCCTTGAGCCACGGGACGGTGCCCCGCATTAATGTCACCAGCTTTCACTAGAAAGCTTGCTGTGCCTCCTCACAAGGTTTTTACGAGTGAGCAATTTTTTAAAAACAAGCACAAAACCCAACGGCCTACTCCTCGGCAGCACCTCGCCTACCGCCGGAGCGGGCTCCTCACCGCCGCTGCCTTTAGGGCCGCCCACACCCTGCCCGCTCGCCCAGCCCCGCTGCGTGCCACAGGCCTCACCCTGCGGGGACGGACAGCGCCGCTCGGGACCGGCCCGCCGCCTCACCCCCGCC